TCCCCTTTATGCCTTCTGCTACGGAGTTTTCTGCCGCTGCCTCTGTGGCAGCCACGGGTCAATTTACTGAAGAAAACAGTAAACGTATTTTACCCCTTTAGGCCTTTATTTTGATAAAATTGGTCAAGCCCACATAAGGCAATATACACCACAGTTAAAACCACCCCCCCACAAAATAGTAAAATAAATAACACAAATGAATATAGTACGTAATGTAGTGTTTTGTTTTGCAGTATAGAAATTCCACACAATGATTCTGTTTAAAAAGGTAAAAATGATTTATAATACACAGTTATAATGTCATCATGGTGCCCGCATAGAAAACTGACATGCAATCCATGCCTACACTGCGCGGTATAAATAATATGCAACTAAAAATACAAAGAACAGGAACACTACAAATTGGTTTGGGGTTGGTTTTTTTGTTGTTTTTTTTTTGCTTCTTTGTTTTTTAAAAAGAACAGACACGTAACAAAGGCTACCTGCGCTTTCACATTGCCATCACAGTGACGGGGGTTCCGTTTTTCAGAGGAATAAACACCTTTTTTTTTTTTCTTCCCCCCCTTTTCTCTCCTGAAAGCACAGCGCACGCTGTAACCTGCGGGACGAAGGGGGGGGCTTTCCTCTCCCTCCTTGTACAGAGGGGGTTTCCAGGGCGAGGACCACGCTCACGGAGGGACAGATCTCGGGCCTTAACTCTGCAGAAACCCAGGCTTTCGCAAACAAGCACAGTCAAGACCTTATTTTTGAGGGAAGTTTAAACGATTCTGTAAGTTATCGGGTGCTGCTTTTACGCAAACTCAGAGGGCAGCTCTTCCTTCTCATCCGTAAGCGTTCTTGTCGCACGGGTTCGCACCAGGGTTCTCAGGCACGCTTGTTAAAAAAAAATCAATTGAATTTAAAATAAGGTAATAGAATGTACAAGCAGTTAACAATTTCTTAAATTAATTTGCAGCCTCTTTCTGGAAACCTTTTCCCCTCTTAAAAAAAAAAAAAAAGAAAGGAAAAAAAAGAAAACCGAAGGTTCTCTGTACAGGAAAGGTTTTGCACAGTTACAGATCGCTGGCGAAGTGTTCCCTGACATGCAGAAGCAGTAGTGAGCCGACAGGTTCG